GAGTTTTGGGGGGTTGAGAGGTTCTTTAGGGGCTCTGGGGTGGGTTTGGGGCTCTGGGGTGGGTTTGGGGTGGGGCAGTTTTGGGGGGCTGTGATTTGTGGGGTGCAGAGCGGTTTGGGGGTGTGATGGTTTGGGGGTGCTGTGGTTTTGGGGTGTGGCATTTTGGGGTGTGAGATTTTGGGGTGTGACATTTTGGGGTTTGAGATTTTGGGGTTTGAGATTTTGGGCTGTGACTTTTTGGGGTGTGACATTTTGGGGTGCAGCAGTTTTTGGGGTGTGACATTTTGGGATGTGATGGTTTGGGGGTTTAAGATTTTGGGGTGTGACATTTTGGGGTGTGACATTTTGGGGTGTGACATTTTGGGGTTTGAGATTTTGGGGTGCAGCAGTTTTGGGGTGTGACATTTTGGGGTGTGACATTTTGGGGTGTGACATTTTGGGATGTGACAGTTTTGGGGTGTGACATTTTGGGGTGTGACATTTTGGGGTTTGAGATTTTGGGGTGCAGCAGTTTTGGGGTTTGAGATTTTGGGGTGTGACAATTTCGGGGTGTGACATTTTGGGGTGTGACAATTTCGGGGTGTGACAATTTTGGGGTGTGACATTTTGGGGTGTGACAATTTTGGGGTGTGACTTTTTGGGGTGTGACATTTTGGGGTGCAGCAGTTTTGGGGTGTGACATTTTGGGGTGTGACTTTTTGGGGTGTGACATTTTGGGATGTGATGGTTTGGGGGTTTAAGATTTTGGGGTTTGAGATTTTGGGGTGTGACATTTTGGGGTGTGACATTTCGGGGTTCCCAGTGCGGGGTGCAGAACTTCAAGCGCCGGGAGAAATGTTTCAAGTGTGGCGTCCCCAAAGCCGGTGAGTGACCCCAAATTCGGGGGTTTTACCCCAAAAACTTGAGCGGAACCCCCCGAAACATCTTACACTGCCCCAAAACTCCCCAAAATTATTGGGGTGCTCTCTAATACGCAGGGGATCCCCTTTTTTTTGGGCTGTACCCCTGGTTTTGGGGTTCAATCCCTGATTTTGGGGTTTTTTGGGGATTTTTTTGGGTTATTTGGGGGTTCCATCCCTGATTTTGGGGTTTTTTGGGG